CCACTGACCAGCTGGCTGATTCAGATGTGACAATGTGCCAGACCCCTGACCCATAGTCATGTGCTGCATAATGTTGCTGGTCCATTCCAACAACAATGGACCATAAAAACAATGGTGGTCCCATAAGATTAGAATGGAGCTTGTGTTACTCAGCCTTCTATCACTATAACAAATACCTGAGATAATCAATTTATGCAGAGAGAAGGATTATTTTGGTTCTCGGGTTTCTTTTGAAGGTTATAGTCCATGATTGATTGGCCCCATTGCCTTGTGCCCGTGGTGAGACAGCTGGAGCGCCTGGGAGAGCAAAGTTGTTCACGTGATCACAGGGAGGTAAGACAGAGTCAATCTCCTCTAAGGGCAGTGCCCCAGTGACTTGGAGACCTACCAATAGGTGCTACCTCTTAAGGGTTCCACCACCTTCCAATAATGCCTGTCTTGGGACCAAGTTTCTTTGGGAGTATAATCAAAATGTACACTACAGCAGAACTGAAAAATTCCTATCATTCAGTGACATCCTATTCATCTTATCATTGTAACACAATGCATTACTCATGGGTTTGTGTTGGTACTGGTGGAAATAAACCAACTGCACTGTCAGTCATTTAAACGTATAGCACTGGGCTGGGGATGTGGCTCAAGCGGTAGCGCGCTCGCCTGTCATGCGGGCGGCCTGGGTTCAATCCTCAGCACCACATACAAACAAAGATGTTGTGTCTGCCGAAAACTAAAAAATAAATATTAAATAAATAAATAAATAAAAGCATAGCACACACAATTAAGTACAGTACATGATACTTGATAATGAAAGTAGCCAATGATGTTGCTGGTTAATGTATTTACTATATTTTTATTGCTACTTGAGAATACTACTACTTCTATTTATAATGAAAATTTACTGTATATCAGTATGCCACGTTAGGCCCACAACTGCCTCAGATACCTTCTGTTCATCAAGTATCTCAATGGCATAATTTTCTTTTGGGTTTGATTCACTCTCACGTTGTTTTGTTCATCATGGCCCTAGGAGCCATAACCCATACCTGTTAACAGTTTGGGTATGAAGTGTCTTAATCAGTAACTTGTTTTTGTTTTTTACAGCAGCTCATAGACAAGAATTTGCCTTGAGTCTCAGAAGAGGCTTTGGACTTAGGCAATTCTAGAACTGTTAAGACTATGGAATTCTTGGAGATGAACTAAATATATTTTGCATTGTGAGATGGACATGAGTTTTTGGAGACCAGGGGTAGGACATTATGGTTGGATATGAGGGCCCACCAAAATCTCTTGTTAATGCAAGAATATTCAAAGGTGAAATGATTAGATTGTGAGAGCTATAACTTAATCAATCCATCCCAGTTTGAATGGACTGATTGTATGGTGACCGTGGGCAGATAGGGCAATGCTGAGTCCCTGGGGGGCATGCTCTGGAGGAGTTCTTCCCTTCAGCCTCTCCCCTACCCTCTGCTTCCTGATCCTAGCAGGAGCTGAGCAGCTTTCCTCTGCTGGGCCCTTCCTCTATGATGTGCTGCTTCATCTTGGGCCCCCAAAATGGAGACAGCCCTCTATGAACGGAGACCTCTGAAACTGTGATCCTCAAATGAACTTTGCCTCCTCTAAGTTGTTCTTGAAAGGTGTTTGGTCACAGCAATGAAAAAGCTAAAACATATGAACCATATACATATATACAATATAGCCTAGGTGAGTAGAAGACTATACCATGAAGGTCTATGTAAGTACTACTTTCTGAGACTAGCATTTCCTTTGTATTTGCACCCCTTACCTAGGCCTAATGTCAACTTGGTCACATCAAAGACGATATAAAAAGAAAGTATGACTTAGATCAATGCATTTTTTCACAGAGTAAATACAGATCATCTGAATTAGAATGCAAGAAAAGGTGAATACACCCAATTAAATTTGTTTTTTTTTTTTTGTTTAGAAATCTCAAAAACTTTGGAAATAAGAGTTAGAAAACCCATTGGGGATTTTAATAGTTCAGGTCAGAACTTCCAGCTGAAAACTAACTAAGTGTCTTAATTCTAGTCTCATAAGAATGAGGGATGAAGTGTTCTTTGTGTACCTGGACCAACAGTCCCTGCAGGTACCTAAGGATGACTCTGTGTTAGTTACATTGGCCTAGGATTGCTGAACTGAGATCAGGACTTTACAACCTGATGCAAGGACCTACAGATTCTGAGTGTAAATCTATGTGCTTGTCAAATACTGAAAGAGTAACATGTGTCAGGAATACATGCAATGGTATTTTCTACATGAAAGAAAATGGTGCTATAATAATGAGATTATGGAAGTGCCATAATATTACTACATTCACAGTAGCTGTTTATATAGTGTTATGAGGTAGGAATCAGCCTTTGGAGTCAACAGACTAGGATTAGCCATCTAAACTGACAAGTTAATAATTTGGAAAGCATCCTTAAAATTTTCAAGCTCCTTTCCTCTAATATAGAAGTAATAGGGCTTATCTCATGGAGATGTTTTTAGGATAAAATGCATGTAAATTCTTCACATAATACTTAACCTATAGCAGACTCTCAATAAATGATACCTATTATTATTTCTGCCAACCTGTGTTTTCTTTACTAACCAGTACCCTGTGGGAATCTATCTGTAGCATTCTCCCATTCATCTTTGGGATGAAGTTCTTATTTGCAGAGTTAAAGGGGTAAGAGATGGGGAGTGGGGGGAAGTGCTAGGGCGCAATGTTGGCCAAATTATTTTGTTATATGTGTGCATGTATGAATACATAACAACAAATCCCATCAGTGTGTACAACTATAATTCACCAATAAAAACTGTGGGAATAAAAATAAAGGAAATGATCTCTTTGGGGCTTCAAATGGACACTTTTTTTTTGGTACTGGGGATCGAACGCAGGGATGCTTAACCACCAGGGCACATCCCCAGCCCTATTTTGTGTTTTATTTAGAGACAGGGTTTCCTTGAATTGTTTAGCACCTAGCAGTTGCTGAGGCTGGCTTTGAACTTAGGATCCTCCTGCCTCCCGAGCCACTGGGATTACAGGCAAGCATCAATGTGCAAGGCAAATGGACACTTTCTTCATTAGAAAGAGGAGGAGGAGAGTCAACTATGGTAGTTACGGAAAATATCTGGGTTCAAATTCTGACTTTTCAATTAGAGAGTTGAGATCTTTGAGCAGACTGCTTAATATTGGTGGGCGTCAAGGCTGGGGTTGTGGCTCAGTAGTAGAGCACTTGCCTAGCACATGCAAGGCCCTGGGTTCAATCCTCAGCACCACATAAGAATAAACAAATAAAATCAAGGCATTGTGTCCAACTACAACTAAAAAATAAAAATAAAAATATTTAAAAAATATATTGGTGGGCATCAGCTTTTTGCTTACAATTTGAAATGATGATTGACTAAAATTTGAGAAGGTGTTGAAGGCTGCTGGGGAACCACGATTAGTGAAGTGGGGTGAAGAGTGTCTCCCCAACCCCCAAGGAAAATCATAGCCACCTGGAACTTCAGAATGTGGCCTTATTTGGAATAAGGGTCTTTGCAGATATTGCTAAAGTAAGTCCTGAGATAAGACAATTAGGGTAGGCCCTACAGCCAGTGAGAATGAAATTGTAAGAGTTAAAGGAAACAATCAATAACATGAAGAGAGAGCCTGCAGAATTCGAGAAAATCTTTTCCACAGGCTCCTCAGAGCACTAATCTCCAGGATATATAAAAACTCAAATAACTCAAATAACCCAATCAATCAATGGGCAAAGGAACTGAACAGACACTTCACAGAAAAAGAAACATGAACGATCAACAAACATATGAAAAAATGTTCATCATCTCTAGCAATTAGAGAAATGCAAATCAAAATCATCCCACTCCAGTCAGAATGGCAATTATCAAGAGTACAAGTAATCTAGGTTGGTTCCACAGTTTAGCTATTGTGAATTGTGCTGCTATAAACATTGATGTGGCTGTGTCCCTCTAGTAAATGAATGGATAAAGAAAATACACAATGGAATATGACTCAGCACCCTGTATAGCCAGAGGAATGAGAAGTTATGGTCCATTTGTGTACAGAGTGTCAAAATGCATTCTACTGTCATGTATAACTAATTAGAACAAATTAAAAAAAGAGAGAGAGGGAAAAAAGGACACAGAGAAGGTGATATGAAAATGGAGACAGACTGAAGAATAAAATCCTGGCATTTGCAGGTAAATGGATAGAGTTGGAGAATATAATGCTAAGTGAAGTTAGCCAATCCCAAAAAAACAAATGCCAAATGTTTTCTCTAATATAAGGAGGCTGATTCATAGTGGGGTTGGGAAGGGAGAGAATGGGAGGCTTAGATGAACTGTAGATAGGGCAAAGGGGTGGGAGGGGAAGGGAGAAGAGATGGGGGTAAAAAAGATGGTGGAATGAGATGGATATCACTACCCTGAACACATGTATGAAGACACGAATGGTGTGAATATACTTTATATACAACCAGAGATATGAAAAAAAAAAAAAAGAGTACAAGCAATAGTAAGTGTTGGCAAAGCTGTAGGTGAAAAGGTACACTCATACATTGCTGACAGGACTGCAAATTGGTGCAACCACGCTGGAAAGCACTATGGAGATTCCTCAGAAAATTGGGAATGAAACCTCCATTTAATCCAGGCATCCCACTCCTTGGCTTATACAGTCACATTATAGCAGCTCAATTCACAATAGCTAAACTATGGAACTAACCTAGAAGCCCTTCAACAGATGAATGGATAAATAAAATGTGGCATATACACACTGTTGGGTGCAGAGCAGGCTGAACTGTGTTGTCTGCAGGGCAGGCTGAACAGATGTTGGCTGCAAGATAGCCCATGCACTCAAACCCCCCTCTATCTTGTCCTTTATCACCTGTTTGCTTCAAGTCTGAACATTCAACCCCGCTCAAGGCTGAACATTTAACCCCTCCCTCCTTGGGCCAACAAGGCAGCTTGCAGACCCAGAGGCCCCATTAGATTTGGGCTATAAAAACTCCCTCTTGCCAGGCCCCCCTCTCTCTTGCTATCTCTCTTGCTTTCTCTCTCTCCTGTGTGTGCTTCCTCTCTCTCTCTCTCTCTCTCTCTCTCTCTCTCTCCTTCTTTCTTTTCTCTTTGTTGCACTGCTGCAGTAAAGCTCTCTTGGTTGCTCTGAGTGTTGTGGTCACTTTTCTTTCACACACAATGGAATACTACTCAGCCTTAAAGAAGAAAGAAATTATGGCATTTGCAGGTAAATGGATTGAACAAGAGAATGTCATAAGCCGGTCCCAAAAAAACAAATGCCGAATGCTTTCTCTGAGAAGCAGATGCTGATCCATAGTAGGGGTGGGGTAGGGAAGAATGCAGGAACTTTGGATTATGCAGAGGAGAGAGAGGGGAGGGGTGGGGCTGTGGGAATTGGAAAGATGGTTGAATGAGACAGACATTATTACCCTCTATACATTTATAATTACACTACTGGTGTGACTCAGCACCCTGTATAGCCAGAGGAATGAGAAGTTATGGTCCATTTGTGTGACAGAGTATCAAAATGCATTCTACTGTCATGTATAACTAATTAGAACAAATTTAAAAAAAGAGAGAGAGAGAGGGAAAAAAGGACACAGAGAAGGTGATATGAAAATGGAGACAGACTGAAGACTGAAGTGACATGTCTATGAGCCAAGGAATGCCAAGGGTTGACAGAAACCAAAGAAAGAAATGGCAAGATATTTTTTTTTTCCCCTCAGAGCCTCCAGAAGGAACCAATCCTGCTGGCACCTTGATCTGAGACTTCTAGCTTCCAGAATGATGAGAACGTAAAATTTTAATCATTTTTGGCTGCCAAGTTTTTGGTGTGAAAGTTGTCAGAATCAAAATGGAGTCACTTGTGTCAAATCCTAACAAGAATAAATAAGTAAAGCTGGGAAGTCACAAAGGAGGGGATCTCACGTCTGATTACAAGAAGTAGCACAGGAGATTTGCTGACCATGACCTTGCCTCAAGACCACAGCAACCTCACACAAGAAATACACCTGTGAGGACCTCTGCCCAGCAGCAGCCTGCCCAACCTTGGACGAACGCCACCCTCATTATTGATCCTTGTAACCAAAGATGGTGGTTTCAAAACAATTTATGCAATCCTCCTCCCTTTACCTCTAAAAATCTTTGTCTTTAAAAACTTTTGCCTTCTGAATACACCCAAAGTTTACTATGGCATGCATAGTACACATGTCCTGCTCTTTCTGGAATAAACTCATTATTTTTGGAGAATCTCTCTGCTCTCATTTAGGGTAATGGTAGTAATTTGTCATGGAAGTTCTAAGAAACTAATAAATCAGTAGTCATCGTCTCTGTGCTTAAGAAAATTTATAATTTTCTATAGGGGAAAGGATGAGCTAGGGCAAGACCCTGCAGGACTGAACTAAGGTCTATCAGAGTCATGATAACAAAAACTTTAAGAGTGTTGGAGGCAATAGAGAGAAAAGCCTTTGTGAACAGAAAAGGCCTCAAATGTGGGGTAGTATATCAGTACTCCAAAAGTGGACTGAACTTAATAGGCAGAAATGGGAGTTAGATTGGGAGGGAAAAGTATTCCAAGCAAAGGGTTCTACTGAAGTAAAGCACTGAATGGGGCAAAGCTTAACATGTTTAGCGATGTCAAGTGGTGCACATTGGTTGGAGTTTCCCTATGAAAAGAGTTCTAGAAAAGCAAGTTAGGGTGAAAAGGCCCCCAGAAACAATGTGTGTATATTTTAACATATTCATATGCTAGAGATATCCTGAGCTGCTATCAAAATCATTAGGTCAAATATTGTTATTTTATATGTAGAAAAGGAGATTAAAGGATGAATCTACTTTCCCTGAGGTCTCATAGCAAGGTCTGAAATCTGGATCATTGGTTCAGTAGTCATCTCTGCAGTAAATCTTTCTGGTTTTATGAAATGCTCCTTCTTCTCTGGCCTACCTTTAAATTTTTTAAATACTAAATATAAATTAACTGTTATTTTTTTGAGTCCCAGTTATTTATATTCAATATTAGCTACCTATCTGGTTATGGCTTACAAACACACACAAAAAATCTTTTCATAAAAATTCTTAGTGGTGCCGCTGGGCTCTCTCCCAACATTCCCTTCCATCTTTCCTAACCTTAGAGTATGTCTTGTAATTTAAAATCAGTCTAGAAAAATTACCATTTTAAAGTATTTTACTTATAACATTACATTACATGTTATTCTTTTTAATATAAAAAAATTAAATAGAAAAATGACCTGCTATCTTATTGCTAACTCCTGTTGACTTTTAAAAAAATAAAATACAAGTTCATAGTAAGAAAATTCAAATATCACAGAAATGCAAACAGTGTGAAAAGTTAGTTAAAAATTCCCCTTAATTTGCTATTTCCCTGAATATATAAGTCACCAACAAACTCCTCTCTTTTCAGAAAAAAATATATATGTACAACATAGATGTTTTTTCTTAATGTAGTACCATATGCAATGCCTTGCACCTTGCTTTTTAATTTTCCTTAAACATATTTCAGGAAGCTCTTTCAATGTTGCAACTTATAGAATCATTTTTTTTAAAGAGAGAGAGAGAGAGAGAATATTTTTTAATATTTATTTTTTAGTATTCGGCAGACACAACATCTTTGTTTGTATGTGGTGCTGAGGATCAAACCCCGGCCACACGGATGCCAGGTGAGCACCCTACCGCTTGAGCCACATCTCCAGCCCCAATATAGAATCATTTTTTAAAAAGATTTCATAATATTCCATGATCAAGGTCTGCCACCATTTGTTTAATCAGTTCTCTATTACTTCCTGTGTTTTGATATTACAAATAGTGCAATATCTTGTGCATATTACTGTGTCTAGAATGTTTCTTAAATATATCTGTAAATTCCTAGCAGTGAAATTACTGAAAATTATCATGCTGTTTCTTATTTTAACACCCTTTAATCTGACACCTCCATCCACACAACCATTGCAATTAGAATAAAATCCAAATACCTTATTGTGGTTTACTTGGGGTTAACACCTGATCCCTGCCAACTCACCCACCAACTAATTTTCCACTTTGATTATCACCCCAGCCTTTGTCCTGAATCCTGCAAGCTCATTCTTTACCTCAGGGTCTTTGTATATGTTTTTTCTTCTTTGTAACACACTTCAAGAGGTAGCTGCTCTATGTCAGTAAGGTCTCAACTCAAAGTCACTTCCTCAGTAAGGCCTTCCAGGTTGGTGTGAACACTCTTGGAGCTTCATGGTAATGTCAGCATTCCACTGTTTTAAGAATTGCTCTTTCTTCTCCTCTGGAATGTGAGCCTCAAGTCAGCAGGAGCCCTATCTTTCTTATTCTCTATTAAGTTGCAAGAATTCAGATGAGTATATATGCTCAAGTAATATCTGGAAAATTAAAATGGTGTGGATTAAAATTGTCATATAAGCTGCCAAACTGCTGTGCAGAGAAAGCACCAGTTTTCACCATCAATAACCATGCCTGTTGTGAATAATTTCTTTATTCTATCAAGCATTTATCATTTTTTAGAACTGTCCTCTTGAAAGGTCAAGATAGGAACTTATCTCTCATTTTGGAACAATTTTTTCTTTCTAACATAGGTAAGACCAATTCAGATAATTTAAACATAAATCCCAAATCCATTTTTAGAACATAAGCAAAAGACATTATATGAATAAGGACTATAGTAAACAAATGTGGATTTCTCAAATTACTTGGAAATTTATATGATGACTAGTAAGAATAATGAATTTAAAAACTGAACTCTTCTTAGACAAAAGGAATTCTTTCCTTGCAACATACAATAAGGCCTTTCCTGGATTTTCTAAGTCTCGATTCCTTTTTTATTTCCCTAATTTCTTTCATTTATTTAATCAATCATCTATTCACCTCACAATATTGATTGATTGCTTGTAGGCCCAGGCACTATACTAAAATATTTATCTTTCATCTGACCACACCCACCTTTGAGCCTAATTTTGCCAAGTGTTTTGGTCTGGGTCTTAACTCCAGAGATAAAGTCTGTAAGTGGATCTTTAGGTGTGTCAATTTATATATTAATATGCTAATCATCAAGTCTAGCCCTTGATTTATGTAACATCATATTGAAATTTTTTAACCCTGTCTCTTTCTTTAATTTCTTCTACCTTCCTCTTACAGAGATATTTATCTCAGTTCCCACTTTTCAGAGATTAGGGGCACCTAAATTTAAATAAAATACCCACTCTTCAGCCTACTTGGTAAGTGGGGTAAATGGACACCAGAGAAAAGAAATTGTGTTCCTTGGTCCTAATGTGTACCTAAGGTTAAATGCATGGGTTGCTGATTACTCCTTATTTTTGTTTACTATTACATCCAAATATTAGATTATTACACTTCCGTGTCTCATATTTCATTTCCCCCAACTTTTGTTGGGAAATGAATGAAGGGACCTAGGAAGCAGAAAATATTATTCTCTCCAGGAAAAGAAAGGGGAGTGTGTGTGGAAGTTGAGGTTAAAATGAGGATGCGGGGTTCAGCTGTGGTCAACATTACATTCAGCCCTCTCCTCAAGCATTATTCTTCTGTTCTACCTACATGTATAATAAATAAAGCAAAATTACTCATGCATACAAATAAAGTTTTTGCATTGGACCAGTTGGTCCAGTTCTATATGCTAAGTTCCTTTCCTCCTTTGCCTCTGTTCGTTAATTATCCCTCTCCCCCAACCCAAACCTCCACCTATGCCCCTCTGCTCTTCCTCCCACTTCCGGCTCCTAGTCTCCTTTGACTTTCGACCGTCCTCATCCTCAGCATCCCCTGTCTGCACGCGATTGAAGAGCTCTGCGGGCCAGCCGGCCCCTGGAAAATGTGAGTCAAAGCCAGAGCTCCCGGGTGGGGCTGGGGGAGGTTCCGGAGGGTCCAGCGGGGTCGCGGAGGTAGACCGCCTTCCCTTCACGTGCGATTTGAGAGCAGCCTGGAGATCTCCTGCAAGAGCGAGCTGGCAGGTTTTACTATTTCCCAATTGTTTACTCTCCAGGCTCGTGGGTCCACGCGCCTCCGGGCTGAGCTCCGCACGGCGAAACTTCATTTACAGGGAGGGCGAAAAGGCCCACGAGGTTGGGACTGAGGTTTGTGGGTGACCTCCAGGGCACTTCCTCCCTTTCCGTGCCCTTCCCCCACTCCTCCAACCACCTTCACGTAAACAAAACTGCCCCCCTGGGCGGGGAGAGGTCTCGCTCTTTCGCGCCCTCCCTGGCAAGGGGTTAATTTTCCGATCGCATGAGGGGGAGGAGATTTCCCTGTAGACGAGTAAAAAGCGTGATGGACAAACGTGCGGGCACTAAGACCGCAAGGCATTCATTTCCTCCTACTGTGGATGCGGACGCCGGGAGGAGGAGAACCCCAGAGCGAGGACCGGGGAGCCGTGGCACAGGCAATGCTCAACCCTGGATGTAGCTGTGAGAGGCTGGGAGAGAGATCGACTGCCGGAGACTGAGAGGCCGGGGAAGACCTAGGGGGGTGGGTGGGGGAAGCAGACAGGAGAGCACTCGAAATCAAGCGCTTTACAGATTATTTTATTTTGTGTAGAGAACACGTAGGGACTCCGAAGATCAGCCCCAATGAACATGTCAGTGTTGACTTTACAAGAATATGAATTCGAAAAGCAGTTCAACGAGAATGAAGCGATCCAATGGATGCAGGAAAACTGGTAGGTGATGCTTTCGCGTGATACTGTTCCCGGGAGCCCTGTGCGTCTCCCTGGAGTGCATTAATGTCGGTATTTCCCTGTCTGGGCGTGAATGGAGCGGTGAATCGCGAGCAGCAGCTAGCCAAACGCGGAGTTCCTAGGTCTAGGAGACACTGGGGCTGCATGAGCGCGAGGTCGGTGGGTGCCCTGTGTGAACCGCGACTAAGCAGGCATCTTTATATAGATTATATAACATAGAACATATATGTGTGCCAGGAGTGATGTCTGCGCGACAGGGAAGGCAAGAGAGATGCCACAGTCCGGATTCCCCACCTGTGCTACCTCCTGGCTTTTATCTAGATTTGGGATTTTTTTTTTTCTTTTTTTTTCTGCTTGGCCTCTCGCAACCGAACTGTGCAAAGCCATGGAGGGAGGACCCTATCGCTGGCTCTCTTTAACCCTCTCCCGCCCGCCGCCCTCGGCTCTGGTCCTTGCTTTCTCCCCATCCCTGGTGTCCTTCCTTTCTCCTTGCAGCTCTTCTACTTCACTGCTCTCCTCTGTCTGCCGCTCCCCAGCCGGATGCCTCCTTTCTAGGACCCCTTTCCCCACGCGGATCCCTTTCCGGTTTCATAAAGAGACTGGGGGTGGAGGGGCGGAGAGGAGGGGACAATGAAAACTGTAATAAAAATGAATGAACCCGAACGAGTGGAGCCACGCCATTATTAAGTTTCTGTTTTACGGAAACGCCTTTTGGACACACTCACTTCTAATTCAGTGCGAAGCTGCTGTTTGGAGTCCAGGCACACAGATTAGAAACCCCTCGGTCTGAAGAGTCCTTGGGAGATCTTACACAGAAAAACTTCACCTCGGGAAAACATCTTTCCTGTTTACTGTGTTTCCTCCCCTAGTCCTTTTGAAAATCCCTGTGTGGGAGGCGATCCTGTGTCACCTTGCAATATTTAATAGGGGAGGTTGAACTCAGCTTGCTTCTTCCTCTTAGACTGAGCTGTGGCAGACGTTTCCCTCCTTCCCTTAATCCCGGGTCTGGCTTTCTGTAAAGTGCAAGCAAAACGTTCCCCGTAGCTGGGCAGTGGCCGGCCGCCTCCTGGGGCTTGATAGTGGAGGGTCCTACCCTAGGGGACCCGGGGCTCTGGAGATTCCGCCGCCGCGTGCGGAATCTGCCTTCCCTCCCTCCGCTCATCAATGGGAAACTGGAGACGCTGGCGCGCTCCGGGCAGGGGCGGGCTGGTGCAGTAGGAAGGGGTGCCGCGGGCCACTGCCTGGGGTAAGGGGTTCAACTTATTCTCTCTCAGTCCCCCGGAGTCGCAAATCGGAGTCTGAAGGCACGGCTGCTACTCTCCTCTCACCTCCGGGCAGGCGTGCAGCCTTAGTTTTCAACCCGTCGGCCACCGGCCCACTGGCCATTTGCGGTCACATCCGGGCGGAGCCTTCCCCCTGCCCGCGCGCGCCAGCAGGGCTGGGCCTGCCCGGGGGCGGACGCCGCGTGCTCACTCGGGCTGCAGCGGGCTGCGGCTTGGCTGGTGGGCGCCGTGGGCCGAAGGCCCCCGGGCTGCGTCCGGTCACACTGTATTTTACTAGTGGAGCGCGAGCTGCTAAGAAGGACGGGAAATGCAGCAGGCACGGGGTGGGGGGCTAGGTGCCTTCCCAGGCCACCAAGGTAGAGATCCCCGGGGCTGGGTCCGAAGGTGGTTGTATACCGCGACTCCGGCTGTCGTTGGAGATTAGATGTTAGGAGACCGGGGCATTTCGGGGAAGCCGAGCCCCCTCGTGCCCCGCCACCTGGGTGCTTCCTTAGTTGCACTTCCTCCTCCGGCTTAGAGGGTGGCGCTGAAGGCAGGGAGGGGGCGGTGACCCAAGCCGGCGGACGGCGGGAGAGAGCTCCTGGCCGGCTTAGGGCTCAGGTCTTCTCTGCAGCCGTTTTTCGTATATTTTCTTGCTGCACTACTTGTGTTCTCCTCCAGTAGCCCCGTGTGCTCTACATTTTTTAATGTTTGCTGTGCCCATGACTGGGTGCCTCCTGGTTGGATCTGCCCTTTCCGGAGTCGGCTTCCCCTTGCCCTGCGCTGATTCCATTCACTGTTAGCCCTTTCTTATACCACCGCGGTCGATACTGCCTCTTATTTGTTTGTTGCTTTTTCTCTAAGGCCACTTCCTATGCCTGTCCCAGGACCATTTCCCGCCTCTTCTCTGCGTTCGCTGAATTAGTACTCACAGGACTGAAAACAGCAAAAATGCACCAATCTGTTTGCCTGTGAAGCCCTTACCACTGTTTCCTCCTGGCTCTTTATCTGTCTTCTGGCAATATCTTTTCCTGGCAATTATAAATTTATATACGTGGATATTTGCCTGCCCTCTACCAGACCATCAGATCTTTAGGGTACAATCTTTATTCCATTTTTGATGTTTCAAAGCACCTGATAGATGCCTGGGAAATGCTTATCCAGTGATTTAAATTAAAATATATCCAAGATTTAACATGCTTGTCCTTCCCTTGCATTTTCAATCCATGTTATAATCAGTTTGTGATTTTTCCCTTCCTGCTGCCTTGTTTGTTAATTTTATGTTCGTGAATTGCATATTACAGTCCAAGAGCCCTGCTGGCAGTTATACCTTTCTTGTAACTCTTCTTGACTCTAATTGTCTTGCTTTCTTCTTTTACCCCAGTGCATTTCTCCCATTATCCTGGTGATCCAATTTTAGAACTGTCTTTACCCCTCCAAAACAGCCACAAAATCTTCAGATAGGTGTATAAGAAAAAAATTAAGATTTTTTAAAAAGAATTTCCTTTGTTAACAGAAGGGCATAGACCCTTTTGGGGAGGGGGAAATTTTAGGAAACTACAGAGTCTTAACTTTCTCAGACCCATTCTCTTAAAATGGTTTAAAATAACTTCTGGAAGAAAAACACCATGAAGAGAAGCTTCTACCCTGTCTTTTTTTTTTTTTTTAATATTTTGTTTTTTAGTTGTAGTTGGACACAATACCTTTATTTTATGTGGTGTTGAGGATCTAACCCAGCACCCCCCATGTGCTAGGTGAGCTCTCTACCCCTCAGCCACAACCTTAATCCCACTACCTTGTCTTTTGAGAATTTATTTGTAATTGTCATTAAAAATCTTAGACATAGCCTCAAACAAAACTTACTAATTTAGGGAATTAGAATGTTTCTGTCATAAATGAGCTCAACAGGCTTTTGAAGAATTGTGAGAAGGGCCAGGAATGGTGCTTTGCCTGTATTTTGGCTGAGCTAACTAGCATCATTCAAGAGAATCTAGAGTAAGAATTTGTTAAATACACTCTATAATTCCGACCTGCTAACTTAGCAAACATTCAGGGAATGGGGCCCTATTTTTGAAGTGGTGTTTTTATATATTTTAAAGGGTTGGACTGACACAAGTCTATCAAGTTTATTGCTTTAATGTTTAAACTGATATTCATTGGCCTAGACATGAAGTGAATACTGTAGGTTTTAAACATTTTTGTATCAGGGGCTGGGGTTGTAGCTCAGTGGCTGAGTGATGGCCTCACATGTGTGAGGCACTGGGTTTGATCTTCAGCACTACATACAAAAAAATTTTTTTGGTATCAAATAGTTTCATATATAATAAATTAGCAAAAAATGGGAAGTAATAAGTATATCCCTGGAGAATCATCCTGAGGCACATCCTAAAACTACATGTCCAGTTAAAAATATCTTGAGTAATATTATCTGGGTGAGAGTTTCTTACATGAGGTAGAGGAAATTGCCTGCTTTTAGCTCCAAGTAGTGTTTTTGAGTTCCAATTTTACACTGAAAAGCCCTTGTGATTTTACAGCATTGAAAATAGAGACACATTGTTCTTTTATGAGATGTCTGGCCTTTACCTGTTATTCTCACTAATAGCTGACTTGATTCGTAAGTGCTGCTAGCAAGGGAAAAGATTGGTAAGGCAACATAAAATTCATTGAGTGAGAGGGAAAGCCAGGCTCTGCTTTCTCCTCTTTCAGCAGCCTGCCAGGTTTGTGCTAACAACAGTGGATGCTAGTTGCTCCAGTTGTAATTGTCTAGCCAATGATGATTATCTTCTGATGTCGGCTGACACAGTGTTCTCCAATAAGAAAGCAGGAGGCCTGTGCTGACTGCTGTAACATTATGTATGTGAGGTGACGTCATCAGAGGGCTTGCCTAGAACCTCATGAAACCCTCCCCCCTCTCCTGGCATCCTTCACACATCCAGCCTTTCAGTGCTTTGTACTTTTTCTGACTTTCTGCTCTCTTTTTTACTGTGGTGATGGTTATAAAGAGTTTATTGTTTTTATATTCGTAGTCTGTATTATAAAGTTAGGAGATAGAAATTTCTAGAGTTAAATTTTGTCCTTACAGAGGGAAAACTTTTTATTCACAAATTTGATTTTACCAAAGGAAAAAATGGCAAGAATTTAAAAGGAGTTGCTCATCTATATATCCTTTCTTATATATGAGGTTTGGAAAGTAACAGAATGTACAATTTCAGGATTCAAGAGCTAGAAAGAGCATTATAATGTTATATTAGTATTTTATTCAAAAGATAGCAATGTAAGGCTGATGAGACTTTTCAAATGAAGGCATAGTACTAGGTCATTACTTTTCCTGTAATGAGAATTGCTTTGAATTGCTCCCTTAAATTCACCTGTGATGTGCTGCATGCATCTTCCAGAAATATTGCTGAAAATTAGTGCAGCCTATGGCCACAGAACAGAATAGGCCAGAGTTTCATTTAGTCATTATTAGCATTACAGCAAGTATGGCTTGGGTCAGCTGTCTAGGAAAATACTGTGTCCATGCTATACTTGTTATATTGTTGCCACCTACTTTGGAGACTCACAGTTCTTAATATTTTTAAGATTAAAAAGTCTTAAGTGTGAGGAATTCAGTGTGTCATCCAGTAAATTTTAGAAATCACTGGGATCATATGTGGTAGGTTAAGAGCAAAAAGCCAGAAAATGAATAGAAAGGAAAATGTGGTCTATGTTGTGATCCTT